TAAAGATTTTATTATCTTTCTTTTAACGTTTCGAACACACCTTTTTCGAGTTCCGTGTTTTGCATCCCATTATCAGAAAACTGTGCTCTTTACTTTGGCGTGGCGGGTGCCTTATAAGAGTCGCAGTCAAAATCACATCATTCGATTAAAGTAGCACAAAAGCTGGTGGTGGGTGCTGATACGTAGTTGACTTCCCTCTAGTCTATCAGTTGAAAATTAGGGACGGCTAACTTTGATAACCCTCGTTTAGTTTTGCGTGAACATCCAAAACAAACCTTTTAGATAAAACTCGTTCCTTATAAAATACGATGCTAAAAGATGTTGTTAAAGCACTGGAATGTTGTAGCTACGTTTACGATAACCATAATAATATCTAGGAACCATTTTTAGTCATATTGTTTTCTTCTTAGCTTTAATTTTCGGTGGTTCTATCGTTCATTGTTATATTTTGTTCGTAGCTGTAGTCTTCCTTATTGTTTTACCATTTAAAATGGCGAAAGCTCGCGAAGCATGGTGAAAAATAACTCAACATTTGTGATAATAATAATTTAACAGTTCATTTTTTTTTACATATTCCTATAATTTTGTCCATTTATGACTTTAAATCAGAGGTGTGTGCAAATAGTATTTCATATTTATCTTTTGTCTCTCACAACTGACTGTCCAAGGGGCCTTTCGTACAATACCAGAACCCGTAGTGATTTTTATCACAAATGTTAGGCCTATCTGCTCTTTTTTTTAATTTTATACTTTTCTATGCAATCGTGGTCTCATCCCCCCCATCCCCTCTTGCAGGGGTAGAATCACTCGCTGCTTTTTTTCTGTTATAGCAATCTCGTTTGTTTTCTTTTATTTGTAATGATATCTTCGTTCGTAGTTGTATTCATCTTTGTTCATAGCGGTAGCCATATTTCCCCCCTAGTGCTTATAATGCTCGTTGTTTTATTTTATTGGTAGTAATAATCCTTTTTTTCTTTTTTGTTTAGTGATAATTCTTATTCCTAGTTTACTTTTTGTGATGTCAGTCTCGATTTTTTTCATTTGTTTGTAGTATAGTCTAACTATAGAAGTCTCGTACGTTGTTACCATTTTTGCTCGAAGTGGTTTTTCTATTGGTAGTGGTACTCTCATTGTTTTTACATATTCAGTAATGGTAGCCTCTTTTGTTTTCTTTGCTCGTAACGGTAACCTTGTTTTCCTTTCTTGATAGTGGTACTCTGGTTCTTTTTTTTTATATTACTTGTTATGGTAGTCTCGTTCGTTATCTTTATTCATTAGTAGTTTTATGTTTTAACACTCAAACTGATTGAATTGTTTGAACTTCATTTGTTTATTGTTAAACACAAAGCTACGCAATGGGCTTTTCTGTGCTCTGCTCGTCACGAGTGTCGAAGTTCGAATTTCAGCGTCGTTATCCTACAGACTTACAGATGAACCTCAGGGGAGCATTTAAGTTTAAACAAATCTTAAGTACTTTTTTTCAACATACGAAAGTAACATATTGACTTGTAATCAAATACGGAAATTACTTTCAAAAATATAAATTTATCGTACTTTGCAGTTTTCTTCTTCTTTTTTCTAAGTAGAAATGTCAATGTGTCACCTTTTTTTTTAAAGACATCCCACGCCACACAATGGACACTTTACATGCTAGCGAGAAACCCGAAATGTCAGGAAAGAGTTGCAGAGGAAGTTAATAGAGTGGTTCCTTTTGGGGAAGTCATGAAAGAGGAGCATCTCCAGCATCTTCCTTTCCTGAAAGCTGTAATCAAAGAGACTCTTCGGTAGATATTTATCTCATCTATAATGTTTGATCTTGATCTGTAGCGGTTCCACTACCTATCACTGCACTACAACGTTAAAAACAAATATATCACCTACGTTTCAAACATTTTCAAAGCATTTACGTATGTAAATATATAGTGTTTAAAAATTCAAGTATCAACTTCGCATCACTAATTATTAGTAATATATATATATATAGATTATATGATATTTATAAATATTTGAAATTGTCACTAAAATACTTTTCAAACATTGAATCTAATCTTTATCCAAATAAGTCCTAACAACAAAAGCTCAAAATAAATAATCCATTGATTTTAATGTTATAATTATTCAGTTTGTAAGAATTAGATTATAATTGACTTTGTATCCTGAGGCTGTGAGATGGTAAATGAAACAAATAAATATAACGTTGGTATTTATAACCACTAATTTGTTCTTTCTTTTTTCTTTTTGCATATATCACATTTAGATCTATTTTTTATACTTCTTGCCATTAGGTATCGCTTCTAAACATTTCTTTTTTCTACAGGCTCTATCCAGTTGCTCCATTCTTAACACGAATCTTGTCAAAAGATATTGTTTTGAATGGCTACGAAATACCATCTGGGGTAGGTAGCTTTTGGTTTTGTTTTGAGTGTGTATGTTTGTGTTGCCTTAATGATTTAGAGATTTATATTCCAATTATATTTTTTGTTTTTTAACATTCTAGTTCAACAATGAATCGTTATATATTTGCAAGTAAGACATTATTTTCATATTTCCATGTGCGTATTGGGAAATTTGTTAGTGTTATATCGGTTATAAGTTATGTTCAACCATTTTTTATTGTAAGTTGTTGAAGCTGGTTTACTTTGATAATAAGGATTTCACGTTATACAAATTAAAATGCATGTATTAGTTTTTAAAGAGAGAGATTTACTTCTTACGTGTGGCATATTTGTCAAAAATGTAAAGTAAGTGTTCTTGTATGTTCTAATAAAAGCTTAAAATATTCCAGAAGCTGATCCTGATGTCTTTATACACTACAGGAAGAGATCCTAAATATTTTTCAGACCCAGATCACTTCATTCCCGACAGATGGCTGCGCAATCGGGACACACATGACGTCATCAATACGTACGCTTGCTTACCATTTGGCTACGGTCCCAGATCTTGTATAGGGCGTCGGGTAGCAGAGATTCAAATGCAACTCCTTTTAGCAAGAGTAAGTATAGTGGTGTGATACCTGCTTAATTTTTGAGCACTTATTTACTTACAAACTAAAGCTATTTGAAAATTCGGTGAATATCAAAATTGAAAAACCCTCTGAGCTAAACATGTCAATTCTACAGGGTTTAACATGAACTATGTGAAACTCGTCAATTTCTGTATCTGTAGTTATAGGGTTAAGCATAGGAACAACTGTTATTACTGGAAAATAAAATTATTTCAAAATGCATGCATTATATATTGAATAAATTGTGCTATCAAATAAGGGAGACATATTGTAAATAGTGGTTTGTATAAACTTATTTATACTTTGCCCAAGAGTAAACCCTTATCAGTAGTTTAAATGTTAGTTTTTTTAAAGTGACAAAACAATGGCACAATTGTTGTTTTATTCATACAGTAATTGTTCGGTTTTATTCTAAAATAATGGTTAACTTTCATACCCTAAATCTTAAGAAAAATGATTACCATTTCACACATTTGTGATATTTAAATATAATACTTTGTGGTGATATAGACGTCTTCTGCACGATGGCCTTTTGTTGTTGTTGTTTTGAGTTCATCTATTTCTCATATCGCTCATCACTGATAAATTAATTACACAAATTTTGGTTCTTTGCAGAGAAACGTTTTCACGACTATATGTGTGTTATTTACACAGTTCAAACCCTTTTTTAACGTTTAGTTTTATATAGTTGGTATTTTTATGTTCCTTTATAGACGGTTCAGGCATTCCATATAGAGTCTGTTAATTCAAGAGAGGTGGGGATCACTATGAGGATGATCACGACTCCCGATGAACCAATCAGACTACGTTTGCTGAATCGCAACATATGACTGCTCTAGATAATTCATTCAATAAATTATCCCTTCTCGGGCATACATTCAACAAATAACTTCCTTACAGAAGATTTCAACCAATGCTTTCTTTAGGGAAAGCATTTGGTACAAGTGACTGGCATCGATACTGGTTGTTGATGATAGCCAGTCATCCAAGTGAGGTTAAAAAAACAAAAACAAGCTTCAATTCAGCTCATTCAGTGCAATCATTGTTAGTGTCTTTTATTCTAGAGAGAGAGAGAGGGAGAGAAAGAAAATCAGATTGTTTCACAAATGCAGTGATTATCCGTTACTTCAAACTAAAATGTGTGTATGTGAGAGAGAGAGAGAAGATGTGACTAGCAAGAGGCACGAGAAAAATGGAGGATCAAGAAAAAGGTTTACACAAGTTGAAGAATCCTGAAAACGAGAAACTGTAAAAAAAGGCATAAAAGGATTCTAGTTATTTAATGTTATAAAGAGTGGTTTTAAAACGTAACGGTACCATTTGTCCTTTCTAATTAACACCACCTTAGGTGGTTCAAATGTTAATAGTTTGAAGAACGTGGTGTTTATTTATAGGGTGGTTTTGCTGCTAGATTCACAATGACATAAAGACTAACGGATGACGCTTACCATTTTCAGCTAACTTTGAGTTCCTTCAAATATACAAATATATTGAAGTTTTACTGCAAATATCATAAAGTGTCTCTAAAATTTTTAACTCGGAGCAAGGGAAGACTAAATTAGTAGTTTCACAGATTACTTTTCGTGTATTTTTTAAAAAGACTATATATATATATTCTTTTGTCATTATTAAGGAGATTAGAGAGACAGAAGTTCTATATAGTAAATGACTGATGAATGTGGTTGAAATGGACAGCCTGGAGAAGTCAACTATTAATGAACCGTCCTTTTACCATTTCATTAACATTAAGTCCATTAAAAACAACATTCAGAATCGTTTATATCCTTTCGTAGTTCCAGTACAAAATCAGTGATGCACGTTTCGAACAATGAAGGAAAATATATTAATATCTGTACAGACTGAAGCTTTTATTTATTTTAAGATATAAAACGGATCGTTCAATACAGACCAATCTAAATCAGAAAATATTGATGTCAGATTAGCTAAGATTTGCTTCGCTGCTTCTAGCTAAAAACGCTTTACATTTATATATATGTTATACTACATCATCCATTCTACAGAGAGATAATTAACAATCACCAATAATTTACTTGGTTTACAATATACCCACTACTTGAGTTATAAATCCTGTTTTATTGTGAATTTTAGCAGGATGTTTGCTCGTTTCCGATGCTTCATCAGTTAATAACCTAGATGAGTTTTTTTTCAGTTTTAATTTTACATTGTATTGAGTTAATTATAAATTCTTTACAACTACTTACTCAATTTTATTCTACTTTTATAGCAGGCCAAAAATTTTAAGAACAGTCATTTTATTTTAGTGTTATCTGCATAGGATGGCTTTCAGTTTCGGGGTGAGAAAAATTGACTGTACATTTTTCACTAACTTGAATTCTTTGTAGATTCAAAGCTAAATAACAGAGGATAATTAATATAACTAATAAGGGTAGTCTTTTTTCTTGTTGTTTTTTTTTTAAAAGGAGACTGTTTATAAAATATTTACACAGATTCAAGTATCGCTAAGTTGCAGAAAAAAATTTCATGTTATATTTTATACACAGATCTCTTCTACGTTAGTTGCATAATTTAATTTTATAGTAAGTGTTTTATAAGTATTGTTTACAATTGTTTTTAAACAGGAACTGTTGAAGCATTGTTTTATGTGAGTAAATTGGTAGAGGCCCCCAGTGGCACAGCGGTATGTTTGCGGACTTACAACGCTAGAATCCGGGCTTCGATACCCGTGGTGGGCAGAGCACAGAAAGCCCATTGTGGTGCTTTGTGCTTAACTTCAAATAAATAAATAAACAAAATGGTAGGGAGAGGGTACGCGTAATTATTGAAGATCTCATGTTTTAAGAATGCAATTTTTTTTTACTATCCGAAAACCAATCGTGAAGACAACAGTATATTACATGCTTAAACAGGATGGAGCAAAGTAACTATACAATTGTTTTATTTAGAACCTAATTGAATTATATCTCCGCAGATAGACATAACGTTTTTATATTGTTTCTTCTTCTTCTTTCTTCTTCCAAAAACTTTTCGATCGACTGTTATTCCTTCATCCTTCACTTCTTAGTCGATTGACTTGAAACTTAGTAGGGTTATACCTTGGTCCAATATGCCCAAATAAACTTTTTAATTTTTTTAGTTTAGGCCTTTTTAAGGATTTTATGGGGTCAAAGATCAAACAGTCCCAAAATTTATATTTTGGCCTCCTTTGCGGACATATTTACAGCAATCAAGACGAAAATTAGCACAAATATAAATTTTCATGCGTCCAACACGTTAGCTTAAAAAGAGATGGAGTTAACCATTTTTAGTCATTTTAGGGTGGTTAGAGCTCGCCAAGAAAATCATAATTTTGGGGGTTTGGGTTAATTACTTAGCCGTATTTTGATTAATTTACATGGGATTTGGTACAAGAGGTCGTTTCTACAGGTCTCGCACATTGACAAACAAAAATTGTGGATTTACCCGTTTTTAGTAACTATAAAGGGTCAAAATGCCACAAAAACATAGTTTTAGGTTCGATGACGAGGAACCCACTTTGAGACTAATAATGGCTGGAGACGGCTTGAATGGGTAATGAAGAAAAACTTATAT